TCGAGTCCTTGATATCCTTATTAATTTTCTATCTCATTGAATCTAAGTCTCTATGTATCTGGGTGTTAGGATCGTTAGCTCTTGTTGTTGCATTGATCCTTTTACCACTATATCTTTGTTGCTTTAAAATCTATTTTATCCGATACAAGAATTGCAACTCCTGCTTTTTATTTATTTATTATTTATTTTTGCTCTCCATTTGGTTGGTAAATCTTTCTCCATCCCTTTGTTTTGAGTCTTTGTGTATCCTTGCGTGTGAAACAGATCTGGATGTAACATGCCGTTGGGTTTTGGCTGTGTCTTTTGATTGGGAATTTAGTCAATTTAAATTTAGGGTTACTGCCATTTGATGTTGACTGGCTGTTTTATCCATTTGTTGGTGTAAATTCTTCTTTATGTTGGTGCTCTTTACTTTTTGGTGTATTTTTAGAAAGGCTAATACTGGTTGTTTCTTTCTGTGTGTAATGCTTCTTTCAGAAGCTCTTGTAAAGCAGGCCTGGTGGTAATAAAATCTCTGAGTTCTTGCTTGTTCATAAAAGATTTTATTTTTCCTTCATTTGTGAAGCTTAGTTTGGCTGGATATGAAATTCTGGGCTGAAGGTTCTGTTCTTTGAGGATGTTGAATATTGGCCCCCACTCTCTTCTGGCCTGTAGAGTTTCTGCCGAGAGATCTGCTGTAAGTCTGATAGGCTTGCCTTTGTGGGTTATCCGACCTTTCTCTCTGGCTGCCCTTAGTATCTTCTCCTTCGTTTCAACCCTGGTGAATCTAACGATTATGTGCCTTGGGGTTGCTCTTCTTGAGGAATATCTTTGTGGTGTTCTCTGTATTACCTGGGGTTGAATGTTGACCTGCTTTGCTAGTTTAGGAAAATTTTCCTGAATAATATCCTGAAGGGTATTTTCCAGCTTGGATTCATTCTCTCCATAGCATTCAGGTACACCTATCAAACGTAAATTTGGTCTTTTCACATAGTCCCACATTTCTTGGAGACTTTGCTCATTCCTTTTTATCCTTTTTTCTCTAATCTTTTCTTCACGTATTTCATTAATTTGGACTTTGACCTCTGATATCCCTTCTTCTGCTTGAACAATTCGAGTGTTTAAACCTGTGCATACTTCTCGGAGTTCCTGTATTGTATTCTTCAGTTCCATTAATTCACTCATACTCCGCTCTAAGTTGTCTATTCTCAATAGGATTTCCTCAAACTTTTTCTCAAAGTTCCTAGTTTCTTTACGTTGGGCTATAACGTGTTCTTTTAACTCACCGAAGTTTGTTATTATCCATTCCTTGAAGAGTGATTCTGTCATCAGGAGGCGCTCGTTCTCCATCAAGCCTTGTTCCATTGTTGATGTGGAACTGTGATCATCTTTAGAGGGAGAGGCATTCTGACCTTGAGTATTCTCAGCTTTTTTACGCTGGTTTCTTCCAGTCATTGTAAATTTATCCTCCTGTCGTCTTTGAAATTACCAACTTTCAGATTAGGTCTCTTGAGTGGACGTCCAGGTTGTTAGTTCCCAGGGCCAGAGCAGCAGCGTTAAAACTGATGGTGCTTTTCTGCCCAGGATTCTCCTGTCGGGCTTCCTTCTTGTGTCCGTAGTAGGCGACTCTGCCTTCCCGGGGCTCCAAACCTCGGTCAGAAGGGGAACTGGTCCCGTTTACTCTGCGCCTAGCGCTGCCGCGTCGAGGTGCCTGTGGAACCGCTGCGCCGACCAAGAGAGTCGCGCTGGCGACTCGTGTGTTTCCACCACTGGGGGATCTTCTGCTTCGTGAGCGACCAGACTTTGTCTGAAAGTGTGGCGTCCTCTAGTTCTCCGCGCCTTCCCTGAGAGCTGCAATCCCGGGATGTTAGCGATCGGCCATCTTGGATCGTTCTCCCTTTTTTTTTTTTTTTTTGAGACGGAGTTTCGCTCTTGTTACCCAGGCTGGAGTACAATGGCGCGATCTCGGCTCACCGCAACCTCTGCCTCCTGGGTTCAGGCAATTCTCCTGCCTCAGCCTCCTGAGTAGCTGGGACTACAGGCACGTGCCACCGTGTCCAGCTAATTTTTTTGTATTTTTAGTAGAGACGGGGTTTCACCATGTTGACCAGGATGGTCTCGATCTCTTGACCTCGGGATCCACCTGCCTCGGCCTCCCAAAGTGCTGGGATTACAGGCGTCAGCCACCGTGCCCGGCCTAAACTGTCATTTTAAAGAGACAACTGTTTAAAGAGAAAGGGTCTACTTTATATGTGTCTTTTTAAAAAATATCATGTAACTGATTATCTAAAAGTTGATATAAGGGAAATATGTAATTAGCTTCATGAGGTTTTGAAAAATTTAGAGATAATTGCTTGATACATTTTTATTAAAGGAAAATGATATACTGGGGCAGTATTTCTAACTTTGTTACCACTGGCATTAAGGAGGCCACAGAACCTTTCTGGATGTACAGTGTTTCTTGATTCTGAAAGTAGTTGCAGGATAGAATCCTGGATAACCCTTCTGGTGGCAGGATGACTCCACATTTACCTTCAACCGCATTGACCAGGCACAGATTCTAAGAGATGCTGACCAGGGAAGATGATTTTCGCTCATGTTGTCCAGGCTGGAGTGCAATGGCATGAACTTGGCTCACTGCAACTTCTGCCTCCTGGGTTCAAGTGTTTTTCCCGCCTCAGCCTACAGAGTAGCTGGGATTACAGGTGTGCACCACTACACCTTGCTAATTTTTGTATTTTTAGTAGAGACAAGAGTTTCACCATGTTGACCAGGCTGGTCTCGGGCTCCTGACCTCAAGTGATCTGCCTGCCTCGGCCTCCCAAAGCGCTAGAAAATTATAGGTGTGAGCCACCACACGCAGCCTCAGATGAGGTTCTTGCCCATCAGAAAATGGCTCCAAGTTGACACATTTGTTGCTAGTTGAAAAGCCTGCATGCCCAGGCATGGTGGCTCACACCACGCCTGGGATTTTGCAGTAATCCTAGAGCTTTGGGAGGCCAAGGCGGGATGACTGCTTGTGGCCACGGCTTTGAGACCGACCTGGGCAACATAGCCAAGCCCTATTTCTACAAAAGCTTTTTAAAAAATTAAGCAGAATGGTGGTGTATGCCTGTACTCCCAGCTACTTGGGAGGCTGAGACGGGAGAATCACTTGAGCCCAAGAGGTTCAGGCTTCAGTGAACCATGATCATGCCAATGTACTCCAGCCTAGGTGACAGAGCCAGACTTTGTCCCTAAAAAAGAAAAGAAAGAAAAGATGAGAAGAGAAAAGAAAAGAAAAAGGAAGAGAAGAGAATAAAAGAAAAGAAGAAAAGAGAAAAGTCTGTGTGAAGAGGCCTGTGAGACTGGGGTATCCCTAGGTTAGATGCAGCCTTTGCCTCACAGCCACATAACAAACCTGAGGGAAATTTCTCCCTTTGAACAGGAAGGAGGGGAAGAGCCAGAGATCTCTATTCTGAGGGACGCTGTACTGGGGATTAAGAGGACATTGAGGGCAGCTTCAAGTTCCTCTCTGCCTATTTTTTCTTGCCCCCAATTGCATTCTAGATCTGAGTTTGATGCTCCTCCTTTATGCTTCCATTGCAGCAGCGGAGACCCTCCTTAGGCTGGGTTACCTGCTCCTGAGTACACCACTGCTGCTGGAAGCCCAGTGGCAACTTTCCCAGTCTCAGGTGATCTAAACCTGTGCACAGAATAATACGGGATATTGGAGTCACTCAATGCTTTCCCGTGCCACTATTGCAAACTCTTGCTACTGCCTCTTCCCTGTTTCTTTTCACCTGGTAAGCTTATATTCTGCTTTTAGAGCCTATTTTCTACTTTACTAACATATAAGGAAGAGCAAGGGAGGAAGGGAGAGAAGAAGAGAGATGGAGATATTTATTTTCTTGGTTGGGGTTCCAATAATGTTTGTCAGGCATTGTTTTAATTGCTTTATAACCATTAGTGCTGCCCCTAGCCATGGGCAACAGGAGCCTGATAAGTAGTAAATTTATTATAAAAACACATTGGTACCTCTGCCATTTTGGACGTGATGTTTGGGGCTGGCCCAATACAATCTGTAACTCTAAACATTTGCTCCATCATTAATACGATTCAGCCCCAGGCAATGGTTCTCTACAGCTTTTGTTCTCTGTCTTCAAAACTAAATGTGACTGTGTCAGAATACTGCAAAATTTGTGTATTGTCCTTTACTGATGTCAGATGCACCTGTTTCATGGTCCAGGGAGGATTTAAGCAGCTGAAGAACTTAAAACAGAAAAGTCCACAAAGAGCATGAACGCAATACATTCTTGCATAATGAAGAGTCACCTGCCAGTAGGGCTGGGTGGCAACTTGTTTTGTTTTGTTTTGTTTTATTTATTTGCTTTGTTTTCTTGTTCCTCCAATTAATCTGAAAGTTACACATAACAGTGGAGGAGACTTTTGTAATGTTAAGCAAGTCATATTAATCTTAAATTTGTATATGTGAAGATCTAGATGTAAAATGCATGAAACGTGATCCACATTTTGCAAAGAGAAGCCTGGGGCAAAAAGGAGTTTGGTAATTTGTTGTCTCTCAGAAAGCACATTAGTGGTAGGACTGCAACTCACCATCATTTCCTTCTAAGAACTTTGCTCTTCTCACCAAAACTTAAGCCTTCTCAGAGTGTCAAAGACAATAGAAGTGAACATTTCTATGACAACAAGTTTCTTTTCCTGAAATATTATCCCCACTTAATTTTCCCTACTAAAAATCCCAAGTATAAGAACCATAGTTTGTAGGATGTCTACTCTTGAATCACATTTGTCTTTTGCTTCTTAAAACTCCCAACCCATTCAATCTTCAGTTATTTGGAAATCTTCACCTCAATTGCCCATCTAGTGCAATTTGAAGAAGAAACAGTGCCAGGCATTGGAGTGAGAATCTTCACAGAAAAATGTCTGCCCAGAGGCAGATGAGGTCCTTCAGCTCCAGTGCTGATTGGTTCCTTTCCTAGGAACTCTCCAATCCTACCATGCATGGTAACATCCAGAGGTTTTTACTGCTTCCGGCAGGTACATAAGATCCATTAGGTTTGAGCTGCATTGACTACCACTGCTTTTTCCTTGGTCTCAATTACGTCTTGGAATATGGCTCTGCAGATCCCTAGAGGCTTTCGGGCAGCAGCTGTGACCTTGATGCTGGCGATGCTGAGCACCCCAGTGGCTGATGGCAGAGACTCTCCCAGTAAGTGCAGGACAGCTGCTCTGGAGAGCCTCCGCTCTGCGAACAGGCTCTCCTTGGGTTGGAGTATTGGGGGATGGTGACCTCTATGATCCCAGAACACAGTCTTTTATTACCATTTGTTCTTTTTGGGAAATAGAGCTATGTTCCATTCTTATTTCCACCGTATAATGGGTGAGGTGAGGATAATCCAACCCCAACCTCATAGTCTTAAACCTGGAGGAGGAGAGAGAAAGGAGAAGACAATGTGTGCATTTTCTGCTCCTGACAGGACAAAGTGACCAGGGAGTTATTTTTGATGATATGAATTTCCCCAAAGACACCATAGGATTTGCCATTTCAAGGTACCCCAAGACTTACTTACCTAGACTTAATATGATGAGATTCTGCACTGGGAAATGTAACGCAGCAATGGTTTCTGTATTCTCAGTATTCTCAGTAAAGGAGTCTATACTACTGACTTGACTGGAGAGTTTGTGAAGGCAAACTCATGGTATTGAGGGAAGCTGACTGGGTGACCACAGATGTTTCACTGATTTATGGGCAAAAGGTAACTTGAGTGGGATTCAGGGAACTGAGTTGATGATAGACTGAATTTAGTATGATAGAAAGGAGGATGTAAAGAAGGGAAATAATACATCTTGAGAAACCACTCCATTCAGACACAGGACAGTACTTTATATAAATTCCCTCACTCCGCCTAACATCCTGTGTGTAAGTATCATGATTTTCCTTTTACAAAATTATACTTGTGATATGCATATTCTGTTAAGTAACGGGCCCAAGCTGGTGATTGACTCAGTTTAATTGGACTCCATAGAATTTGGAAGCTTGGGCTCTTTCCATGAATAAATGTTTCTTTCTAGAACTCCGGAGCTGTAGGTCCTTTCTAACACAGAAGTGAGTGAACCTCACCGGGCACTTGGACGGGTATAGCGGAAAGAGAGTAAATCTAGGCATGAGGAGAAATGTATTTTGTCCAGGGACCAAAAGAATACTTGTATCAGGACGAGAACAAGCTTAATTTCTGAACCTTCCTTGTCATTCCCTTGAACTCTCAAATTTATGTGGATAACTCTGTCTCTAAGATTCCCAGGAGCTCCATGGAAAATGGATTCCATGCGAGAACGCCTGGATCTAAGTGCAGAGGTCAATGTAAAATCCATCGGACTGCCCTCTTCACTTGATTCACAGGCTCAGGCAGGGACTAGGCTTTTCCCATTACCCTCCCTAAAGGAAGCAGATTCCCGAGGCCCCCGGAGAGGGCGGGCAGAGCTCCCTGGAGGATCCCAGGTCCAAGCACTAGGCACGGGGCCTGGCCAAGAACCCGAAGTCACGTGGACAGGTTTCGCAGTTGCTGGTCGTGTCAGGGCGGCGGCTGCAGAGTGCGGTCCGGCTGGGGGTTGGGGCTGGGGCCGGGAGAGGCCTGACTGACCGGCTGCTGATTCCCCGCAGAGGATTTCGTGGTCCAGTTTAAGGGCATGTGCTACTTCACCAACGGGACGGAGCGCGTGCGGGGTGTGGCCAGATACATCTATAACCGCGAGGAGTACGCGCGCTTCGACAGCGACGTGGGGGAGTTCCGGGCGGTGACCGAGCTGGGGCGGAGCACCGAGGACTGGAACAACTATAAGGACTTCTTGGAGCAGGAGCGGGCCGCGGTGTACACGGTGTGCAGACACAACTACGAGGCGGAGCTCCGCACGACCTTGCAGCGCCGAGGTGAGCGTCGTCGACCCTCCGCGGAGCTCACCCTTGGCGGGTGCCAAGTCTTTGCGCGCAGAAGGCAGCGAAGAGGCCTCAAGGATAGAGCCCTGGTCCACCCCAGGGGACAGGAAGGTGGCGGGGGCTTGGGGATTGGGGTAGCACAGGAGGGGCAGAGATCTAAGGCAGAGCAGGAAGACGCGCAAACGCAGCCCTGAGTCCCCTGCAGAGTTGGGTCAGGCTGCCCAGTGTGTTCCCAGCCTCTCCATCCTTTGGCCTTGTCCTCTGCTCTGCACGTTCTTGCCTTGTGCGTTATACGTTTGCCTCCTCGTGCCTTACCTTTGCTGAGCAGTTCTCTCTTCCCCTGCTCGCCTGCCCTGCTAGCACTGCCCCACCCAGCGAGGCCCACGTGCCCAGCTCGCGCCACAGGAAGATTCAGGCTTGTCCTGGTGGAGTTAGGGCTGTCCCACAACTGCGCGCAGGGCCTCCAGCAATGGCAGTTGTGAAATATGATATTTTGACATTTGGCTTCAAATTATTATTCATTGTAATTCTGTTTTCTTAAATGGCTCTCATTCATGGTGGAGCTCTTTGAGGTGAGAGACTCTTTCAATTATTGCATGCCTGGTACCTGACACATTGACTGGTATGTGGTATGAGCTCAATGATCTTCGGTTAAATTAATGAATAAATGTACTCAGCTGCCCATCCACTTAGGCTCAAGAGAAAGCAGAGGTTAAATAGAGCCTTAAAAATTGACTGTATTAATTCTTTTCTGTTATTTTGGGTAATGGTTTAAATTCCTATTGACTTGGATCTTAAGGTGTGTGAATGCAGTCAGGAAAAAAGGTGTTTGCTGAAAATAAAAACAACACTTGGATGGTGTTGTAAGACAGTTTTAATTTCTTAGAAAAGCTGATCAAATGTCACAATGAAAAGAGCAGACGCTTTGGAATAGATTGAAGCTACTAAATTATTGAATGAAAATGATTTCAGGTTGCTTTTGGAGTAGTTTTTCTCCTTCCCACCCATCACTATCCACTTCATGGATAAACAATATGAAAGTCAATTTTTCCCATTTAGTGAGTACTTTATCTGACAATTGCCTTAGCAAACACTATCTATGTTGTCATTTAATACACAGCTACCTGTGCATTAGAGATGAGCATCACCACTTTATATAACCTAATATTGGTACATGGTAAACATTTTAAGTAATCGACCTGAAACTTCCCCCAAATACACAGCATTCCTTTTTTTTTTTTTTTTAAACAGAGTCTCGCTCTGTCGCCAGGCTGGTTATGGAGTGCAGTGGCACGATCTCAGCTCATTGCAACCTCTGCCTCCTGCTTTCAAGCGCTTCTCCTGCCTCAGCCTCCTGAGTAGCTGGGACTACAGGCTCGCACCACCACCGTCAGCTAATTTTTGTATTTTTAGTAGAGACGGGGTTTCACCATGTTGGCCAGGGTAGTCTCGATCCCTTCACCTCGTGATCCTCCCACCTCGGCCTCCCAAAATGCTGGGATTACAGGCATGAGCCACCACACGGGGCCATACACAGCATTCTTTATGTTCTTCACTACACGTCTACACAGCCTAAGGGAAGCAAAGCCTTGTTAAAGCCAATTTTGAAAAGAAGTAGCACTGAGTCTATTCCTGCCTGTTTCCAATGTTAATGGGACAAAACAATACTTTCAAGGTATTGAAAATTCACTGATTAATCAATCCCTAGACTGACCCCAGTGTTATCCATGTGGGTTCACAAAGCTTCGTTGCCTCCTTCTGACCCACATTCTAATGCTGTCAAGTACTTATATTTTTGCTATTTCAAGTCTATTTTCATGAAAGTTATTTTATCATTTTTTCTCGTGAATTTGTGCTCTCTCTTTTTACTTTCAGTCTTTTAAAGATGAATACATCTTATAAGTCCTCGAATAGCTGACTGTGATTTTAGTCAGACTCCAGGAAGGACAACCTAAACAGAAGTTCAAGTCCAGGCAGAAACCGTGATCCTTCCGGGTGATGGCTCATGAGTGCCATTTCATTGGGGTGCCACCTGCTGACCTCAGCAAATTCCAGCTAAATATATATATGTTCACATTACAGGCACCCAGGCCGATCTCTGCACAGATCTCAGAATATTTCCTATGGAAAACATACATGATAATGTCTACTTTCAGAACAAGAAAGTAATTCTCAATAGAACAGGGATGGAGTAAGGTAGGCAGCTAGTAATTGAACTATCTTGAGTGTTAAAAAGGAAATTAAGAAAAAATATTGCCAAGTAAATAAAGCATACATTAAATATTTACTGTAGTTTTATGATAAAGAAATAAAGGAAATTCAGTAAAATGGCCTGAGAGGTACAGCGTAAGATGTGTAAATCAGGCAGGGAAAGGTGTGCCATTTTTGACACGAGCAGCACTCTGAGAAGTCAAGGAACTGATTACAGGCAAACATGATGCTTGATCAGTGTTAGTTGTTTTCATGGCCTGCCTACGTATCCTTCAAATATTACAAACTTTTGCAGTAACATTTATTTTTCTGGTCTGTTACTAGATTGCATGTTCTATAAGGCAGAAACTAGGGTCTGTTGTTTATTTTTGGATTCTCAGTGATTGTCAAATTTATATTTGTTGAAGGATTCTTAATCAAAGACTTGGACTCTAAGTATCTTTTCATTCTGGTTCCAAGGAGGGACCCTTGCTCATGGTAGACTTGCTGTATGGTCTCACATCTCGCTCCTATGTCTTTCCCTGTCTGTTACTGCCCTCAGTGGAGCCTACAGTGACCATCTCCCCAACCAGGACAGAGGCCCTCAACCACCACAACCTGCTGGTCTGCTCCGTGACAGATTTCTATCCAGGCCAGATCAAAGTCCGGTGGTTTCGGAATGACCAGGAGGAGACAGCCGGCATTGTGTCCACCTCCCTCATTAGGAATGGTGACTGGACATTCCAGATTCTGGTGATGCTGGAAATGACTCCCCAGCGTGGGGACATCTACACCTGCCATGTGGAGCACCCCAGCCTCCAGAGCCCCATCACCGTGGAGTGGCGTAAGGGGAAACTGGTTTCCTTTTACTGTGGGCCCCACAAGACCAAGGGCAGAGCTCCCTCTGACCCCTGCCATCCCATCTCTTGTTCCTGACATCACTACTGAACTGGGAACCACAGGAGACTAGAGCAACTGCTACCCATGGCGAGCACATCACAAGAATCTTGTTCTCATTGTCTTTCCAGATACTAGGGAGCTCACTCTACACATTTGTATCAGTCTATCCGTGTACTGCTATAAAGAAATATCTGAGACTGGGTAATTTATAAAGAAAGGTTTCATTGGCTTTTCTCACATTACTATAAGGAAATACCTGAAATGGGTAATTTATAAAGAGAAGAGGTTTAATTGGCTTATGGTTCTGTAGCTATACGGGAAGCACAGTGGCTTCTGCTTATGGGGAGACATAAGGAAGCTCCTAATCATGGCAGAAGGAAAAGAGGGAATGAGGAGTCTCATATGGCATGAGCAGGAGCATGAGAAAGAGGGGGTTGGTGGTACGCAGTTTTAAATAACCAGATCTCATGAGAACTCACTATTGTGACGACAGTACTAAGGGAGATGGTGTAATATCCTTCACAAGAATCTGGTCTACTGATCCAGTCACCTCCCACCAAGCTCTACCTGCAACAGTGTTAATTACAATTGAACATGAGATTTGGGTGGGAACACAGATTCAAACCATATCAACACTATTAAAACGCCAGAACCCAGCTGTGACAGCTATGAGACTGACTGGTAGGGTTGGTGACTGGGGCCTTGGGGTTTGAGGTCTGGATGAATTCCTGAGGAGCAGGCGTGTACTTCCTCCTTTCCCTCACCCACCCAATGTGCCCAAGGACCTATTGGCTGGTCTTTCTCTTCCCTAGGATGGTCAGGCTGGAGAACTAGTTTCCCCTGACACCTCTACCTCCTGTACCAAGGACATTATGGGGTGTGGGGACAATCACTGACATTCAGGCTCTTCTTCCTAGGGGCTCACTCCGAATCTGCCCAGAGCAAGATGCTGAGTGGAATCGGAGGCTTTGTGCTGGGGCTGATCTTCCTCGGGCTGGGCCTTGTCATCCGTCACAGGGGTCGGAAAGGTGAGGAACCCCAGGGGGAAATGGGGAAGATAGACTGTGACCAAGACCCTCTGTTCAGAGAGCTTCTGTCTCTAGATGTAGCTCTTTCCTCTTGACCCTGAGAGGAAGTGTGAGGAGACAGGACAAGATTGGAGGAGGCATTGGAATCTGATTTTACTGGGTCAATGATAGCACTGCCAGAGCTGACTGATAGAGCTTATTCCACAACTGCCTTACTGTTCATCATTAAATCATTGGCTCCTTTCCAAAAGCTTCCTCCATTAAGAGATTCAGAGCCTTGGCCTCCTTGCTCGCTAGTGACAATTTCCTTTGTTTTTTGGAATTTTAACTTAGGCTGCTTACGGCCTTGAAGAACAAGGGTGGGAAGAAAATATAACTCCAATTAAGCTACATGCATTATTGTCCTTTGGGGTGAGAGAGTGGCTGTTTGTCTAACAAGACCTTTCTCTGTATTACTTCCTTTTGCAGGACCTCGAGGGCCTCCCCCCGCAGGTAATATTTCAGCCATGATCCAGTGTGGGGAGGGAACAGGTACAAGAGGGAAGAGCATGAGCTGAGTGTTCCAGGGCACAGTGGTCTCTGTTCATGGCCTATTTGCTGCTATGAGGGTGAAGACTCAGGGGAGAAGTTTGCCAGTTTCCAGGAATCTCCAGAGGCTGTTCCCCGGAACAAGGCCTTAACTTTGGTGGTATCTTTTTGTGAAATGTGGGGACAGAGACACATCTGAATGTTAGACAGTGGGGTGATACCCACTTTGTGCTGCATTTTGATGGCATTATTTAGTGACTGGAAAAGGTTGCCAGTGGTGGAGATGAGGTGTCATTCAATTTAGTAAAAAAATCAAACCCTTCCTATTACCCAGAAGGGTAACTGCTGTTCCCCCACTTCCACAAATCTGCATCACGCTGAAGCTCTGTGTCCTCGTGAGCTGATTTTACCTTTACACAGATCTTGAGGAACCTAAAGATGATATGCTCTGGACCTCAGCATTCTCTGTTTGATGTTGCCGAGGAACCTGAGGGGTGGGGGAGATGGTGTGTCCCTCAGGGTATCCTGTGCTGATCACACCTTATCTCTCTTCTCCAGGGCTCCTGCACTGATTCCTGAAGACTTTTGTCTGGGATTGGTTATCACTTTTCTGTAATGCCCACCTGCCCCTGCCCAGAATTTCTAACTGCCTGTGTTGCCTGTCCCCCTGAGGTCAGAGTCCTACAGTGGCTCTCATGCAGCCACCAGGTCACCTCCTATGATCCCAACCCCCGGGCGCTGGCTGTGACTCTGCTTCCTGCACTAACCCCGAGCCTCCACCTGTGCACTGCAAGCTGTGTCTACTCAGGCCCCAAGGGGCTTCTCTGTTTCCCTTCTCCCCACTCCAGACCTGTCAACACAAGAAAATCATTTACCTGACTTCAGTGCTTTTCACATAATTAAACATGATTCTGAGTTATCCGTATTCTGAACTTCCTCAGCTGAGCAGAGGCAGGAAACCACTGCCAAGTGAAGGAACATACTTTGAGGTGACTCAGCCAAACTGTGGCCAGAAAGAGGGTGGTACCTTGAAAAGACACCTTGGGGTGAAAAAGTAAGAGTGAGCAGAGGAGGTAGAAAATCAATTCAATTGTCACATCATTCACGGTTCTTTAATATTGAAGTTCAGCGCAGTGGCCTTAATGTTGTCTAAGTATGCATGGTGGAATTGTTTGGGGACAGCTGTAGTGACTGATGTTTCAGATATATTCTGGCTGGCAAGTCACATCAATCGAAACTAATTTTTATTTTTAAGAAAGCATAACCAGCCATGAAAGGACTATTTTTGGTTCCAAATGACAGAAACTCAACTTAAACATATTTGATTCATGTTACAAGGACACTTGCTTTCAGAAGTGACTAGTTCCATGTATTCAATGAGGTCTTCATCTCTCTCTTCTCTTTCGGTTATAGTTCTATCTGTGTGTCCTCCCTTTGTGTCTCTTTGTCCCTGTATAGTTCTTTCTGAGGGTCTCTCTTGTTTTGTCTTTGTTCCCTTGTTGTGTCTTTCACTGCATTGTTGCCTTTCTCTGTTTTTATAATCTTTGTCACTGTTTATCTGCATTTCTTTTTTTTCTTTTTGCATCTCTCTGTTCTCTGCATCTCTCTTATCAACTCACACCTTATCTCATTTCTCTCTTCGTGTGTGTGTGTGTGTGTGTGTGTGTGTGTCTTTGTTATATATGTTTCTAGAGTGTCTACCAAAGTTTTAATAATTTTGGAAAAGATTCTGATTGCCTGAGCCTGAGTAACAGGCACACCTCCCAAACACACCATCCTGTGCACGGGATGCTGACAGCCAGTGTGCTCATTCCTCTTATTACGAAGGAAGACTGGATTTTCCAGAATTTTGTGGTGCTGGAAACGACTTTCCAGTGTGCCGATGTCTACATTAGCCATGTGGAGGACCTCAGCCTCCAGAGTCTCCTCCCAGTGGAGGGGTGGATGGGGAAGTTTGTTTCTTGTGGAGCCCATAGGTCAAACGGCAGATCTTCCTCTGGTTCTAGGGTCCCTCAGTGGTAACTGTTCACAGCCATCCCATTCCTCATCTGAGCTCCCTTTGTCATTGACATCGTAATCTGTTGATTCCTGATGACACTCTTCCTAATCATGAGGGAGGTCACTACACACAGTGACCCCTTTGATGTGGGCTCAGCCCTGAAGCTGGTCTACATCTCAGTCTCTGGATTTGTCATTAAGACAGACAACCTTGTCCAACCCGCAGCCCGCGGGATGCATGCAGCCCATGATTGTTTTTAATGTGGCCCAAAACAAATTCTAGGACATTCTTTAAGTTCAGCTTTGTCACACTGAACATGTCCTGGAAGATACTTTGTTTACAAGAAGGTCAAAGTCTTTTCCCTTTCTTCCACTGCCAGTTTCATAGAAACAACTGCTTTTTTGCACCCAGATTCCATTGAGTAGTATAATCTTTAATCGATAAAGTAACAAGAATATTCTTTATAAATAAATTTGATAACAAGAAGAACTGAGTCTTAGTATGCATATAACTTGGAGGAAAGAACCACCTGCCGGCTGTGAGCATTTGTTTTTACCTTAGGAAGTATCAGTATATCTTTCAGAGACAATGCTCACCAATATGTCATAAGCCTCTTTACGTTTCCCAGTCTTTTCTGCTGTTAGGTTGGGATCATTTGACTAATATTAGCCAATGGAACTTGCAAGTAGATGCATGATGAGACGTTGGAAACTCCATAAAACCTGAGTCACTCGAAAAATTGTGGAATGAAGTCTCTTTATTGAGTGAAACCACTGAGATTTGCTTTTAACTGAGGGCTAAGATCTTACTGCAACATAACCTTGCCCTTCCTGATAACCATGGAATGTTTAACTTCAGAAGAGGATTAAGTTAATAGAGTGAATCAAGTGAGTTAATGGAAATTGAGATAATTGAGATGATATTTTTAAACAAAAAAGTTTTTGAAAATAAAGAATGGAAAACTTTATTTGAACAACAAAAAGTTAATGTTACATTAAAAAAATAAATTATTTTTAATTGATAAATGAATGTTTATAAGGTACAATGTGACATTTCAATATATGTATACACTGTAAAATGACTAAATCAAGCTAATTAACATGTCAATCACTTCACATACTTTTTTTTCATTTGATGTGAATATTTGAAATCTGTCTTAGCAGTTTTCAAATATACAATACAGCTGGCTCTCTGTATTGTGGGTTCTGTGTCCTCTGATTCAGCCAACCCTTTATTGAAAATATTTGGAAAAAAATGATAAAATACAACAATACAACATAAAAATAATACCACTCAAAAGACAATACAGTATAACAACTATTTACACAGCATTTGTGTTGCTTTAGGTATTATAAGTAATCTAAAGATGATTTAAAGTATATGTGGAAATCTCTTTAGGTGATGTGCAAAAACTAAGCCATTTTTAAGAAGGGACTTGAGCATTCTCAGATTTCAGTATCCAGGAAGGGTCCTGGAGCCAATCTCTCATGGATGCCAAGGGACAACTGTATGTTGTTGTTAACTGTAGTCACCATGCTGCACAATTGATCTTCAGTACTTTCCCTCCTCTCTAACTGAAACTTGTACCTTTGACCAATATCTCGTTCCTTTTTCTCCCTCTCCCCACACCCCACCTCCTCCATGACTTTGGCTTTTTAAGATTCTGCATATAAGTGAGGTCATGCGGTATTTGTCTTTCTGTGCCTGACTTATTTCACTTAGCATAATGTGTAACAGGTTCACCTGTGTTATAAGTGACAATATTCCTTATTTTATAAGGCTGAATAGTATTCCATGGTGTATATGCACCACATTTTTTTATCCATTCATCTGCTGATGGATGCTTAGGTTTATTTTCTCTCTTGGCCATTATGAATAGTGCTGCAATGAACGTGGGGGTACAGATATATCTTTGATGCACTGATTTCATTTTCTTTGCATATGTACCCAGAAGTAGAACTGCTGGATCATGTGGCAGTTCTATTTTTAATTTTTAAATAGATGCTAAATTTGAAAAACATTGATCTGTTTTCTTCCACGTGAATATATATGTATTCCCAAGAACTAGAACAGTGTTTCTGTCATGGGCGCTGTTCTGTCATACCTAAACTCCTCTCTTTGAGACTGAAGGATTTATTCTCTTATTTTCTGGGAATGGTGCTAGCTGACCGCCCCCTGGAATTGTCTTAGGTGATGAAACCTGCCTCATCGTATTTTACTCCACGTCCCAGGAAGAACTCACCTGTAATGATTGGTCAGTGTGGGGGTGTAAAAGCCTTAAACTCTTGCTGTAACTTGGGCCAACTCTGAGGGCCTCTTGCAACTTCAGAATAGCTTCAGTTATGCTGATAAATAATAGTCTATTTTTTTGTCACTGAAATAATAGTCCAATTTCTAAAACCTTGCTCTCTTGAGTCATTTTACACACACTTTTTTTTTGTGACTTCTATAAGTATGGGCAGTGACTTCTCCTCCTTCTTGGAAGATGAAGTCATTGGCATTGTTACCCTCCCTTTCCTCTCTCCTTTGTGTTTCCACTTGCCAATTTTTCAATATTTTCAAAGAGGAAATATTGACATTCTGCTGTAACAATGAGTCCTTGGGCTTCGTTCACAGCTTAATTCTAAATTTGAAAAAAAAAAAGGTGATCACTTTCTAAATGTTACCTATGTAGTCAGGTGTTCTTTTCTTGCCAAGAAACTGCTGTAGTAGGATCTCTTTTCAGCGAGGTCCTGGTTAAACCCAGTTTCTTGGATTCCTTACCTTCCCCCTTTCTGAATAACAATCTCAATCTGTCATATCCTTAGCCAACTTCTAGTAAAACTCTGTGTAGTAGGTAAATTTTATGTCCCTCCACATCCACACGTATTTTACTCTTTCTCCATGCCTGATTGTGAATTTGAAAAGGTCTACATTTATTAACAAAAAATAAATTTTCTTTAGAACTTCAAGGACTTTCTCAACATCTTAATAATAGAATTATTCTGTCTGTTGTCAGTTTGTTTCATTTTGGTTTCCCCCACTGGAATATTTTATGACCTTTCTTTAACACCTGAACTTCTGACATTTTCAAAATGAGATATTTAGAGGTGAGTTTGTTAATTTTGCTAAATACCTCACAAGACTATTCTATGGAAGAATTAAATCCTCTCTATCTGAAAATTTTCCCCTTGTTATTTCTTTTGGTAATTTTTTCCCTTCATCTTCCCCATTGGTCTCTCTAGCTCTGTCACTTGAGGTTGGATTTCCTTGGTCTATTCTCTTATTTTTTCTACCGTATATTACTTTTTTTTTTTTTGCCTTTTAAATTACTGCGAGATTTTCTTAATTTAATTTTCCAAACTTCTTATTAAATTTTCCAATTTTTTTTAGCATTTTTGTATATTTGATAAATTAGTGAATATATAAACAAGTCCAGGGGGCTTCATCCAGTGAATAATAAAGTGAGCATTACTTTGCTTTCCTTTGCTATTATTAGTTTCTGCATATAAATTCTTTACAGCTGCATTCCTGAGAGGTTCTTATAGTCTTGGGCAGGATTTGGACAGAGTTTCCTAAATGTGATAAAAATGAGAAAAGCTGAAAAACTAAAGTAACTTCAGTGCTTCTCTGCCTATGTTTATGGGACTTTTCCAAATACTTTTATTTTTTGAAAAAAACCTTTATATTATAGAAAATTTCAACTGTGTACAGTGGTAGAGAGAATAAAACTATGTATTAACAGCTCAGCTTTAACAATGATCTAGTCATGAGCAATTTTGTAAACCCATCCAATTATTATACAGGCACATACTGGATTATTTTAGCAATATTTTTAGATATATTTCATTCATAAATTTTTATTATGAAAATCTAAAATATAACAACTTTTTAGAAACATAATAGCAATGCTACTACCATAATTAAAATGAGATAATTTCTTAATATACTCAGTGTCAATTTTTCTGATTGCCTCATATAAACTTTTAAAAAAATGTTTAGTTTGAATATACATTTAAACAAAGCTCAGAATTTGGTTAGTATATTTCTTTTTTAAGTGATAGGTTTTCTTTTCTCTATTTTTAACTTTTTTGCAAATTGTTCGTTGGAGAAGTGTTTTCTTTTTCTTTTTCTTTTTTTTAACTCTGGTACAACTTCTCATATTCTGATTTTTGTTGGTTACATCCTTGTGGCATCATTCATCATGAGATTTTGACTTGGACTCCAGAAAATAACGGTAATACCAATTGTTAACATCTATTAACTGCTTACTATGTGCCAGTCTGTGTGTGAAGTGCTTTATTTGTAATGTTTAATTCTTCAAATCTCTAGTTTGGTGGTAGGTACAAACCTGAAATATTTTATATGATTTTAAAATGTCATGAATGTTATTTATTTATTTATCTCTAGAGACAGAGTCTCACCGTGTTGCCCACTGCAAATGCAGTGGTGCCATTGATCCTAATTCACTGCAGCCTCGAACTCCTGGGCTTAAGCAGCAATCCTCCTGCCTCAGCCTCCCTACTAGCTGGGACTACTGGCTGGTCTCCACCTCCTGACTTTAAGGGATTCTCACCTTGTGCTGAGATTATAGGAGTGAACCATTGCGACTGGAAATTTTGTAAAATTTAAAAAATGTGATATTACCTATTAATGAAGTCATACTTTATGTATGTAATCTGAAATAATTCAGATAACAAATAATTTTTTAAGAATCACATAATTTTAAATCATGCAGTCTGATTTATAACTTTGTTTATAATAATGTCATATGATGATCTCACTTTTAACTTCTAGCTGATAAAAAGATATATTTGCTCTATTTTATAAAACTAATTTTAATCATGCTATTTTGACATTATATAAAGACTCTTTGAGTACATTCTTTCAGTAAAATTCAGCTACTATTAAAGCTGCTTTCCTCAGCATTTCTTGGGGAAGGTTTCTAAATAGGGGAGCATTTATATATTGCTGTATGACTCTGGTCATAATGCCATTCAATGTAAGCCTTTTATTACACACACACATGCACACATACAAATGCACACACCTCCAGAATACTGGGTTCTTCCCAAATGAATCATTGAAATTTACATAAAATTTATTTTAAATCCTATTGCAAAAAAGTTCTTAACACATTCATGCACTTTCATGTGACCTTTTTATACTACATTTTTAATTTTATATATTTGGGATCATTATTGTTGACCTTTTCTTTTTTTTTTAAATACACTTTATTTTAAACAAGTTTGAGGTTACCAGAAAAACCTTAAAATACAGAGTATCCCATATGCTCTCTGCTCCCACACTGCATAGCCTCCTGACTAGCAACATCCTCCACCACAGTGATACATTTGCTACAATATATGACTTAATTGACACATCATTATCACCCGAAGTCCATAGTTTATTATATTAAGTTTATTGTATTAAGTCCATAGTTTATTATATTTAATTCCACCAGCACATTTCCCTCCTGTTTTAATTAACATTGTAGGGTGGAGGTCCTATATGGTGGAGACTTTTATATCTGTGTTTGATGTTACAACAAATAGGGTTTGAAAAACATTTTTTTTTTTTTTGAGACGGAGTCTTGCTCTGTTGCCAGGCTGGAGCACAGTGGCGCAGTCTTGGCTCACTGCAACCTCCGCCTCCTGGGTTCAAGCAATTCTTCCGCCTCAGCCTCCCAAGTAGCTGGGACTACAGGCAAGTGCCAAACGCCCGGCTAATTTTTGTATTTTTAGTAGAGATGGGGTTTCACCATGTTGGCCAGGATGGTCTCGAATTCCTGACCTCAAGCGATCCGCCTGCCTCAGCCTCTCAAAATGCTGGGATTACAGGCGTGAGCCCATAGAGGATTTTTAAAGCAGTAAAACTATTCAGTATAATACTACAATGGTGGATACTTACCAGTATACAACT